TGGGACGCGAACAGCAATTGACTGACATGGGAGTCCAGCGACATAGCCATTACGCTAACTGCTGGTTCCCATGAAGTTAGCTTTTTAAGATTTTTGTCTATAGTTCTTCCTTCTCACCTTCATCCATTAGTAACTTTTGACTTTATATGAATATACAACTTAATCCTTTATTTTTATAAGAGGTTTTGTCTTAGAGTACGTGTGCTAGCCAGAGAGACAGAGAGAGACAAAAAGTGAGAAGTCACCCCACCCCCTCCATGGGGGATAGCCACGCTACAATTCCTTCTCCTCCCAGGATCTTGGGCATGCAGGTACATGCACCCCAGCGTGAGTTTCAAGCCACCAGGTCTGGGACTCAAACCATGGTCAGCCATGTTAGAGTCCAGCAACATAACTGCTACACCATCTGCTGGCCCCACAACTAGGTTCTTCAGGATTTTAGAGTGTGGGTTGGGAGGACCAGCAGTTGGCGTAATGGCTAAGTCGCTGGACTTCCATGTAGTCAACTGTGGTTTAAGTCCTGGACCCAGTGGCTTAAATTCAGCCAGGCACATGTGTGTGCGTGCCCAAGATCCTGGAGGAGAATAGAAGAGAAGGAATTACGGTGTGGCCATCCCCCCACCCGCAACGGGGGGTGATTTCTCACTTTCTGTCTCTCTGTCTCTGTCTGTCTTTCTGGTAAGTGCATTTGCCCTATAGCAAAAAAAAAAAAAAAAAAAAAAAAAAAGTCTTCAAAAAAAAAATAAAAATTTAAACTCTGTCTGTCTTTCTGGTAAGTGCATTTGCCCTATAGCAAAAAAAAAAAGAGAAAGTCTTCAAAAAAATAATAATAATGTAGAGGGGAAGTGCTTTACACAATACCCTGCTAGGCTTATGCAGGTACTTTGTGAATTTTCTTGGAGCCATTCTAGTTTCCTACATGCATTATGAAAATAAACACCTGTGCTCTTTTTTAGTTCACCTGCTCTGGTTTTTCTCAGCCTGTTTGTATTTCATCTTGACATTACACTCTGATTCTGAGCTCTGTGGTTATCCACCTGAATCTATCACTTAGCCAAACTACAAAGTTTAGCTGGTAAAGATTTCCTAGAAATGAAACTTTCTAGCCTTATTGATCAGTGTTGCTATTCCTCATGAAAAAAATCTTGAGATTAATAAGCTGAAGAAAGATGGCCACTTTCATCTTTGTAAAGAACAATATCTATTCAGAAAATTCTTGAGTTGTCTGCATGCAGAGCTAATATAGTTTAATTTGATTTTTTTCTTTTTGGAGAGATTTTTGCTATAGGGCGCGTGTGCTCACCAGAAAGAGAGAGACAGAGAGACAGAAAGCGAGAATTCACCCCCCAGGAGGGATGGCCATGCCACAATCCCTTCTCCTCCATTCTCCTCTAGGGATCTTGGGCATGCATGCACACGTGCCCGGTGTGAGTTTAAGCCACGAGGTCCAGGACTCGAACTGTGGTAGACTACATGGGAGTCCAGTAACATAGCCATTATGCCAACTGCTGGTCCCAGTTTAATTTGATTTTTAAGGAAAAATTATTTGGATTTTTATGGTCACTTATGGACAGTTTCTATGTCTTGAGTATTTTTCATGGTAATAGAGACATATTCTAAAATAATTTCTTATGGTTGCTAGACCTACCTACTTTTTAATTTCTCCCATTTAAATGATATACATAAAGCAGGGGCTGGCAGGTGGCATGGTGGTTAAGGGCACTGGATTCCCACATGGCTGACTGTGGCTCGAGTCCCAGACCTAGCAGCTTGCTTTCTCAATTTCTCTCTCCCTCTCTCTCGTTCTCTTTCTCTCTCTCTTTGGTCAAATTAGAATAAATGAATAAATGGATAAATAAAGTTAAATAAAAATAATTCTTAAAAAAATAATATATGTAAAACAAAGTCACGAGATAAGCAGCAATGTTGGGGGAAAATTTTGCAATAATATGACAGAGGCCTAACTTTCTTAATATCCAGGGAGTGCTTCAAATGACTAAAAGATTATAGCCCAGTTGGAACATGGCAAAATATATAAACCTAAGGGAAAGAGTTGAAAATGGCTAGTAAACATGTAAAGATTTTTTCTTTTAAGTTTTTGCTACAAGACGTATGTGCTCACTCTCAGAGAGAGACAATGAGAGAGAAAGTAAGAAATCACCCCCAAAGGGGAATGGCCATTCCATAATCCCTTCTCCTCCATTCTCTTCCAGGGAGTTTGGGCATGCATGCACAAGCACCTGGCGTGATTTTCTAGCCCCCAGATCCTGGACTTGAACCCCAGTCAGTCATGTGGGAGGCCAGCACCCTTACCACCATGCCACCTGCTGGCTCTAAGATTTTCATCTTTATATATCATTAAACTCAAATCAAAGCAAGTTATTATTTTCTAACTGTCAAATTGACTAAAATTAAAATGTTTGAAAAACCTCAGTGCAGTAGAAAAATAGCATATTGTTGGAATTATAAATCATTTCACTTTTCTGAAGGGTAATTTGATAGTAATTATGAAAATTTGAAATGCACATACATTTTGATCAAGAAATGCTAAAAGTAGGGAAAAATACATTAAATGATAGTCTTACAACACTGTTTATGATTGCCTAAACTGAAAGCAACCACTAGGTCCCTCAGTAGAGCTTACCGAAGGGCCATTATTTACTGAGCCAGTGGAATGACATGCAGTGGTTAAAACGATGTGTTAGCTTTATATTGAAAAAAAGGAGGGAGAGGGACAAAACATAAAAGACGATGGGTAATGTGATCCTATTTCTATTAAATGAAGAGGAAATGGAAAAGATGATGCTATGTATTCTTGTATGTGAATAAAAGTTCTTTGAAAAGATGTGCCAGTAACAGATAGCAGTTAATTCTGGGGAGAATGACTAGAGATCAGAGGTCTGGGGGAGAGAGAGAACTTTAATTATTTCAAAATGTATAGCTTTGAATTTAGTTGAAATGATTCTGTGGTAATAGTGATTTAGGTGTGTTGAGAGATAATGATAAACAATCTAATTCACATAATTTCCCTTCCCCAACCCATGTACTCCTCCTGTCCCCACCTTCACCTCCATCCCTGATAGTTATGCTTTCAGGAGTATTAGCTGAATGTCTTCACTTTCCTGGGGGGACTTCTTTGGAGAGAGAACCCAAATATCAATGAAGTGGCCGAAATACCTGTGACTTCCAATTGAGGGAAAAACAAAGAATTTGCTCAGTACTGGAAATGAAGAGCCATATGCTAAAAACAAGCCACACTTGATTATTTCAATTAGCATTTAAAATAATTCAGATAAAAGTAATGACATTTTCCTAAAGGAGTATTTGGTTTGGACTTCTCACTATTATACCTATAAGGAAAGCAGGGTTATCCATTTCTTTCAAACACATTCTCTTTTAGGATATAGGGATGCAGGACATCCTCATTATTATGCCTACTCTGAGGGTGAAGGCTACAGGGCATTGATGGAGTTTTTCCAACTAGACTTTTGCCTTCTCTAAGTAATCCTGGCCTATGTTCCACCAGTCTCTGGGAAGTGCATTTGGACACCTGGACTGGATCTATTTATGAAATAAATCTTTCTTTTACTCTTTACTTTTTCTAGTTGTCCAGCATTTTAAATTTGTACACTAGTTTGTTTTGTGTTCTTTTAAAACTTTATTCATTTATGGGACCAGCAGTTAGTGTAATGGCTATGTCGCTGGACTCCCATGTAGTCAACCGCGGTTTGTGTCCCAGAGCCGGTGGTTTAAAACTCACGCCGGGCGCATGTGTGTGCGTGCCAAGATCCCGAGAGGAGAATGGAGGAGAAGGGATTGTGGCATGGCCATCCCCCCTGGTGGGTGATTTCTCACTTTCTGTCTCTCTGTCTCTCTGTCTCTGTCTGGCAAGCGCACATGCCCTATAGCAAAAACCTCTCCAAAAAAACCCAAAAACCTTTATTCATTTATTTCTTCCATGATAGAGAGAGATAGAAAGACAGGCAACCACAATGGGGTCCTCATTTCACAGTCCACTCACAGTCTCAGCCACCCTGGGTCATGAATATATGTGTGCCCTGTGTGCTCAGGGAGGTCCTAGGACTCCTACCTAGGACCCTCCCTTGTGGGTCCCATTGTGTTACTGCTGCACCACTGGCTAGCCCTTATTTCTTTTCTTTTCTTTTCTTTTTAATTTTTATTTGCTAGAGGGTGTGTGCACTTTCCAGAGAGAGAGGGAGAAAGCAACCCCAAATGAGGCTGCAATCTCTTCTCCCCTATTTCTTTGTCTTGTCAGGACTGGGGTTATATATGCTCATGAGCCCAGTGTTTTGTGTTTTTTTTTAAGAAATAATTTTTAATTTTTTAAATTTATTCATTTATTTATTTTCATTTGAGTGGAGAGAGACACAGAGAGAGAGAGGGAAAGTGAGAAAGCAAGCCACCAGGTCAGAGATTTGAACCATGGTTGGCCATGTGGGAGTGTCCAGCATCTTAACCACCATGCCACCTGCTGGCCCAAGCCCAGTGTGTTTTTCAAGCCACCAGGACTGGACCTCCAACCATGATTGGCCATGTCAAATGCAGTGCTACAGTGCTGACCTCCTATCTTGTTTTTTTTTTCTTTTTCTTTTTCTTTTTGTTTTTAATACTTTAGAAAGTTATTTCAGAGTTTATAGTATCTAATTTTTAAATTAAATAATTGTTCTACATGTTATTTTAGTATTTAATATAAAATTTTAATTTTAATATTTTCCCCCATGCTCTTCTTTTAGTGGCATAACTTTGTTCTTCATTTTACATTTTACTATAGAGGACCTCTCCTCAGTCCCTGGGTCTCTGAAAGCCGTATTGGGAGGTATCCTGTGCTAGGTGATAGCTTTTCTACCAGCTGTCATGAAGCGAACATTGAATAGGATGTTTTTCAACTTTGTTTCTGTTTTTTCCTGCCACTAAAGTTCTCCCTCTGCATTTTTTTTCCTTCTGAATGTTCTGGGAGTGATCATGGTTATTTCTTTCAGATGGAGATTATTTTACCTTTACAAGACACGAACCCATTGGAGTGTGTGGACAGATCATCCCGGTGAGTGTATCTCCTCACGCCTTGTATTTATTTTCATTTGACCCAGTTCTCCTAAAGACACATAAAACATGGTCCTCAGCTATGTGTGTTTTCCATTACTGGGAAGAAGAAGAAGAAAAAAAACTGAGCTCATGTTGTTGACATATCTTTAACAGCCTCCTTGCAAATGCTTATTTGAACAGGTTAATAGGGTTTCAGCTCTGTTACCAGGAGTTGAGTTCTCAAGTCATGGAATTCTCATGATTAAAATAAGCAAAGCAAAGCACAATGTATTAATAACCTGCCCTTAGTTATGGATGTCTATTGTGCTTATGGAAAATTAATGCTATGTTATATTTGCTTGTTTATTTTTTAGAACTGTGACTCACCATCTTTCCAGGCATATTATTTTATATGGTCTTTTAATCCTATTCTTTCCCACTGTTTCTTTTCACAAGCGTCTAGATAGAAGATACTACAGAATACACAGCAGTACAATTAACGTCACGGTCATAATTGAAACCATGCCGGGCTGTTGTGTGTCTTGTAAAGGGAAATAGATGTAGTGCTTAATGTTTGAATTGGAACATTAAACATCATCCTTTTCTCTCTGCCTCCTGCATACCCTTGGCACAATACAAAATGTTGAATCTTCTAACAGTACCAGTTAATAGTTCTGGCAGGAATATCAAGTGGAGACTCTAATCAAACTCTTACAGTATAGATAAGAGGTTTTCTCTTTTCCAAAGATAAGATTTGGCTGTAAGAGCCAGAGATTTTGGGGAGGTATTAATTTTTGTTAAAGTGATTGGTAAACCCAGGGTTACAGTGAAAATTATTAAGAATGAAAAGGGAAAGTGAGAGATTTGCTTTAAGTTCTTTTCTTCTTACGCCCCCTAAGGAACTTCCACTTGGATCAACTCACAGGTGAGGTCTGTCACCTTTGTTGTAGGACTCAAACCTTCTCTGCTTGCCCTTCTCCAGATTCAGAGCTGTAGCTTCATTGATGGAACAAGCGCTGCTTGTCAGCCAGCCCCAGCTCAATTACTGCCCTCCAAGATTTATATACTGTAGATGGAATTAAAACATCACTGTGGACTCCCAAGTTTATAAACAACTAAGGAGAAAAGAAATTGGGTGTTTGGTGAAGGCAAGACACTTGTATATTTTTGCAAGCTTGCCAGAGCCAATGAGAAACCTTCAAAAATGGCAGCTGAGATGCTTCAGGCAGAAACACATCGTGGTCAGGGGCTGAAGCCAGGGGACAAGGATTTCTGTTTTCTTTCTTAATGAAATTATCAATGACACCTGATAGTACTGAGGCTCATGTTTGAGCTTATGACAATATAAGCTTACTGCCCTTTTAAAATCTTACACCATTTTAGACCCTAAATTTATATACTCAACATACAGTATATGTGAATCTCCATTAGCTTGCTTTGCAGTGGAAAGGAGACAAAATTTTTGCACACTCATAATAGATGCACTTTATTTTTTATTATCAGGTGTCTTTTATGACAAAACATCTAGGTAAAGAAAAAAAGTGCTACAACATATGAAATACACATTTAACTTAAATACATTTCACAGCTTGTATTTTCTTTTTTAGTTCTTCCACATTGAAGAGCTTTCATATCAGTATGAAAATCCTGGTGCAAAAATCCCAATAAAAAGTTTTCATAAACAATTTATTAGAACAAAAATCTAACTTAAAAAATACATAAAATAATAATGAAAAGCAAAACAAAAACAAAACAGAAACAAAAACTTCCTTTTTGCCATGAGATTTCTTTTGGTTGGTAGTTGGAATATAGGAATTTGTTGAACAGAGAGAAAAGGAGAGATTGCCAAGGTCAGTGCTATTCTGTTTTTAATGAAGTCATTAAAAATCCAAACATCTATACTTGGTGGGGGACAAGATTTATGTTGAGGACTAGTTTGAGAAATCTGAGAAGTCACAGCTTGAAAACAAAGTACTGAAGGAATATTTTTTCATCTATCAACCTTGAATCTTTTTCTTTCAGTGGAACTTCCCCCTGCTGATGTTTGCCTGGAAAATTGCTCCAGCCCTGTGCTGTGGCAATACAGTAGTTATTAAGCCAGCAGAGCAGACACCACTCAGCGCGCTCTACATGGGAGCCCTCATCAAGGAGGTAGGAGAAGCCGACTTCAGGACTGGTTCTGACTTCCCTTCCAGTCGGAGCCTGCTCAAGCATATCCCATTTAACACAAAGCATCAACTTTCACATGCTACGTTTCCGCCATTCTGTTTTGTTAGGCTGGCTTTCCACCGGGAGTCATCAATATTTTGCCGGGATATGGGCCAACGGCTGGGGCAGCAATAGCTTCTCACATTGGCATAGACAAGATTGCCTTCACAGGATCTACTGAGGTAGGTACCCAAGAAATTGGGTCGAGGATCCTCATACTGCAAATGAGTAGAGGGGCTAAGAGAACACTGAGAATTGTTCTCGTCATTTGGACATGGAAAAGACAGTGAGCCCCGAGCCCACAAAGGGTCACATTGGTATCTTATATCCACTGGTGGATATAAGAGCAAAGACACACACTGACCAGTTGGTGCCACAGATTTCTGAGCGTTTTTGTAATGTCCTCTGTGTAAAAATTGTCCCAGAAGCTGGGGTCGTAAGACACCTTTTTGAGTCAAGAATGATAATGACAGGAACGAGTTAAGAAGCTGGAAATCTAAACTAGTCTCTGGTAGAGATAAGAATGGAGAAACAGCTTTTCCTTCTCATTGGTTTCACCAGATCCTCTAAATGCAATTGACTGTTAACTGCGTACATTCCATGTGCCATAGGGATGATACAGAGTAGGGCCAGGTATTAAATATGTAGACTTTGTAGGCAATGTAGTCTCTGTTGCAGCTACTCAACTATGCCCGAGTTGTACCAAGCAATCATAGATAGTACATAAACTAATGAGTGTGGCTACGGGCCAATAAAACTTTATTTATAGGCACTGAAATATAAATTTTATATAATTCTAATTCTTACAAATCACAAAATATTATTCTTTTAATTTTTTCCAGTCATATAAAAATGCAAAAACTCTTTTGTTATGGTAGGCCATACCAAAACAGGCAGTAGACCAAATCTGGCTCTTGAGCTGTATTTCTACAGACTCCAATGTAGAGTCACAAATCTGGTTGGAGAGATTTATAAAACAACTCCAACAGATCTTTGATTCAGGTATGAGATGATAAAACAGAGAGTCTGGCACATCGTTTCAAATAGAACTTCACAGATGACTTTATTTGACAAAGGATGTTTATGGGCCTAGGACAGTGCTAGCTAAAGAAACAGAATGAGAACAACATTTGTCGTTTAAAATTTGTTACTAGCCATAGTTTAAAAGAGCAAGTGGACTTAATGATATTTTTCATTTTAATCCACTATTTCTAAAATATTACTTCAAAATATAAAAATTATTAATGTGATATTTTGTATTCTTTTTTCATAGGGACTTTTTGAGTCTGGAATGTGTTTTGCATCTATAGCACATCTCATTCAGACTAGTATTTCAAGTGGTCTACAATCATGTATGGCTACCAGCTACTATACTGGTCAGCCTGGTTTTAGAACCTTGACTACATCAATTCATACAGAGTTAATGATTCTTCATTAAATCGACTCATGTCAATAAATTTTATAAGCAATTGGTTAATAAACTGGAATGCTAATTAATTGATTGTTAAGGAGGTTAATGAGTTAAGAGTTAATCTTGTTTGTTTCCAAACTTTTTTGGTTTTTTTTTTTTTTTGGAGAGATTTTTCACTGTAGGGCGCGTGCACTCGCCAGACAGAGAGAGAGAGACATAGAGACAGAAAGCGAGAAATCACCCCCCAGGGGGGATGGTCACGCCGCAATCCCTTCTCCTCCATTCTCCTCTCGGGATCTTAGGCACGCACGCACACGCGCCCGGCGTGAGTTTTAAGCCACCGGGTCTGGGACATGAACTGCGGTCAACTACGTGGGAGTCCAGCGACATAGCCATTACGCTAACTGCTGGTTCCCTCAAACTTTTTTGGTTTTAATTAGGAGCTAGACAGAACCTCACCATGATCTTCCTCCTTAGCCTCTCACTTAGCAAGGATTCCAGTGATGGGCCATTGTGCTGGCCTGTTTTAGGTTGTTCCTGCTCCCAGGCAGCTCCAGCCTCACACAGCACAAAGCAGTACCCTACTTCTTCAACCACGATGGCTGGGCCAAGACCTTTCATGCTAGTTGTATTGGTTAAGATAGTATTGTTATTTAATGAAATAGATAAACCAAAATCTCAGCATGAAAGGGAATATTTGCTCTCATATCAACTCAGTCTAACACTTTTAAAAAGATGGTAATGGCTTTTAAGAAAAACTGCTGTTTAGGAGTGGGCTGGACAATTGTCAGAAACTGAGGAAAAATACAAATTATATAGTGTTTACCTGGATTGCTTTGCAAATGTTTTTAAGTTCCCATTGCACTTCAAATAAACTGAAAATGGAAATCTTAAATAATATTTGAAGGCTGTGGCTTAATTAGAAAGAGCAGGTGGACCTATAATTAAAGAAAAGCCCTTGGTACTATATCAAAAGACTGAATAATTGATATACATACTTTTAAAACTAAAGTGAAATATTTAAGGTATATTTTCCTTTTTTTTTTTCTGTTAACAGACCAACAGTCCTAATTGCATCAGCTAAGAGATTTCTACTATATAATATTTTAATAAGAAAATTTAATAATTTTTTAAAATTAGATTATGCTATATGACATGAAATCACAAAATAACATCTTGTCATGTTTGTAACTATAAATCTCATTTATTCTCTTTAATTGAATAGAATACTCCTGGCATTAGTATATCATAATTTAAGTCTCCATTAGACCCATATTAAAGGTTTTATTTTTGTTTGTTTCTTCCCCTCCCCACTACATAAAATACACCAAAATAAAAATTCTTGGAGAGCCAAGAAAAATGTGTGTGTGTGTGTGTGTGTGTGTGTGTGTGTGTGTGTGTGTATTAGATATGCTGTTGAATGTGTTTCTAATACTGGAATTGTTAATTAAGGGATAGTTATAGTTTAACTTGTTTTTTCTTTTTTTTATTAATTTTTTTATTTTACGTACTATTACTGAACATCACGACAGCATACAAAAGGTGATTTTCTAACCAACTCATACTTGCTTACTAAGAAGGCATTAGAGTGATAATTTCTAAGATCTTTCTATATGTAGAGGATATGGATGGTTTGTTGTAGAATGTGTAAATAAGTTTGTTCTTTGCTTTTTAACATTTTTAGATAGAATTGATTGCCATGTGCAAGTTTTATATTTGTATGTAGTCATATCTTTCAGTCTGTCTTTTTACAGCTTCTGAGTTTCCTGTCATCTTTGAAGAAACTCTTTCAAGATTATACAAATGGTCTTTAACATTTTCTTTCAGTACTTTTATGGTTTTGTTTTAAAATCTTTAATTTGGTTGGAATTTATATTCATGTGTAATGAAATGTGAAGGTTATGTTTATTTTTTTTTAATAAATAAGTGTTCAGCTGTTCAACACCATTTATTAAACAATTTATGCCTTTGCTAGACTTATTTGAACATGACATATACTATGTGATAAATTTTCTTACATGTCTGTTTCTGTTTTAGGACATCTCATTTTACTTATTTTTTCCCTTGTACAAGACTACTTTAATTGCTAAGTTTTATAAGATGTGTTGCAATATGGTAGGCAAGATACTCTCTTACTTGGTTTTTTAGAACCTTTTGGCTATTCTTGCATGTATGTTTTCAGATGAGAAAAAAAATTTTTAAGAGGTTTTTTGCTATAGGGAATGTGCGCTTGCCAGAAAGAGAGAGAGACAGAGAGAGAGAAAGTGAGAAACCCCTAGGGGGTATGACCACGCTGCAGTCCCTTCTCCTCCATTCTCCTCTCGGGATCTTGGGCACGCATGCACACGTGCCCTGTGTGAGTTTTAAGCCACCGGGTCCGGGACTACATGGGAGTCCAGCAACATAGCTATTACGCTAACTGCTGGTGCCTCAGATGAAATTTCAAAATAATTTTCTAAATACTTCACCTTCCTCCCCTAAACCTCATTTTTTTATTTTTTTATTTTTTGTTTTTGTTTCTTTGTTTGTTTTTTAAGTTTCTTTCTTTTGGACCAGCCAGTAGCATGCTGGTTAAGGTGTCTGGGTCCCACATGGTCAACTAGGTGGTTCCAGTCCTCAACTCAGCAGTTTGAAAAACATGTCAGGCACATGTGTGTGTATACCCAAAATTCTGAGAGGAGACTGGAGAAGCTATTGTGGCATGGCCACTTCCTCCTCGTTTTTTCTCCCTGAAGTGAGTACTTTCTCACTTTCTCTTCCCTTTCTCTTTCTCTCTGTCTCCCTCCAGCGAATACTTACGCCCTATAGCAAATTATAAAAAATAATAATTATAATAATAATTTCTTTGTCTCATGAGTGAGAGAGACAGAAAGAGCAGAGAGTCAGGTACTCTCAGCAGGGTCTCTGCACACTGTGATCCATCCTCAGCTTCAGCCAGCCCTGGATCATGGGTATTTGTGCATCCAGTGTGTTCAGAGAGCTCTCCAAAAGCAAATCACCTCCCCAGGTAGGTCAGCCCTCTACATTGCCTCTACACCACTGTCCAGCCCCTCTCATGGGAGTTTTGATTGAAATTACATGACATGTCCTATGAAGTTGAGAGTAAGTGCTGTCTTTGCTGTGCTGACTTGTCAGCATGGTAAATAAGCCTAGGAACTCAGTTTTTATGTCTCCAGTTGGTTGCTGAATAGCGTTCCCCATTCATGTCATCTATGGGTCTAGGCATTTTTTGATAAATTAACTTCTAGGCATTTAATAGTTTCTTCCTAGATATTTCAACCTAAGAACTGAGCACTTTAATAGAATAATTATATTATGTAGTGGGAAGTTTCATTGAATAGGTAGAGTGTCATCCTTCAGGCCAGGTGAGAAGTTTCATAGTGAGTAAGAACTATGTTTATTGCCAGGATTCTTGGATTAAAAGCTCTGTTTTGTCACTAAACATCTTTTTAATTGTTTAAATGACTTTATGGAAGTATAATTTACACATAATGAAAAATACCTATTTAAATTCCGAATACAAAAGTCCATGTATGCCTCACCCAAATTAAGATAGAGAACACTTGCAAGTTTCTCATACCTCTTGTGGCTAACACCCTTGGCTCTAGGCAACCACTGATTCTTGTTATTAATGTCACTTATTCTAGAATTTCACATATATGGAACATAAGAATATGTATTCTCCTGTGTTCTTTCATGTGTGTGTGTGTGTGTGTGTGCTTATGTTTTGGTTTTTATGATTGTTTTTCAGCATTTAATATATTAATTGTT